AGCTATAATGTATGGCATACATCTTATATCTCAAAAGTATATTTGATTAATGAATTGTTAACAAGTGCATAGTGCAACAGTGGTTCAAAATACGTCTGAAATATGTAATCTCAACGTTAGTACATGTTTTTTAGCATTTAAGAAACAATAATTTCAGTTTTATTTTAATTATTTAATTCTATTTACATATGGAGCATATGCAAATTGCAAATATTACATGCAAATATTTACATATGCAAATTAATGCTTAGAATATTAATTTCTTCTTTTTTTGTTTCATTCGGTTTTAGTAATATTAAGCCTAAATTGAACGTGAGTACTGTTTGTTTTCTGTGTGATTTTCGAAGTTTAGAAATTTGCAGTTTTTGGTTGATCATTATCTTTCATTTTCAAATTGCATAATAAAATCAGGTGACAAATTTCTGTTATTCCGATTACAACAATAAATTTCAATCGAAATTTATTATTCTGTAATTGTTTAACTCGATCATGTTAACAGATGTTTATTGTTAATTCAAGGATTGGAAGATGTGGGAAAATATGAATTATTCACTTCACTTACCTCGAATATTAAAGAAGATTTGGAAAATGTGAATAAAGAGACATCAATTGGTACTAGTGATTTCAATGTATGCAAGTGTTAATCTGGTTTCAAAAGTAAGCTCATTCGTCATTGCTAAGGTCAGAGTTCAACTTATCGTTATTATTATTTTGAAAATAAAAAAAACCATATTGTTTTGTTGATATAATCTACCTCCAAATATCTGTGGCTTTATCTTTCATATCTAAACGATAAAATATCATATCAACAGAACAATATAATTTCGTTAGATTTTCCTAAAATTGTCAGGAAAGTTTCGAAAGTAAGCTCATTTATCACTAGTAAGAGCAGAGTTCAATTTATCATTACCATAATTTTGAAAGTTAAAAGAAAGACTAGAATGAATGATCTTTGATTTTAGATAAAATTTGTCATTTGCTTACATTAAATGATTGTTATTTGCTAAATATTATTTACATTTATAATGAAATTTGATTAATTACAAAATTTAGCAGCAGCATAGCTATTTTTAAAATAAACTATTGATTGATCATATTTTGATCGATTAATACTTCTTGTAAATGTACATATCAATCATTCGCATGTGTCATACCATTTTATGAATATGTATGTTTAGAGGAAATCAATCTGTATTATAGATTATTATTATTATTATTATTATTATTATTTTGTATGCAACTGTATTCCTTAAATTTTATTATTTTGATTTAAAGTAACCGATGGCAATCATCGGATACAGTATAAAGTTTATTTCAAATAATAAATTAAATTATTAATTTTACTTCAATTAATGAATCAAATTATTAACTTCATTTCAATTAATGAATCGAATTATTAACTTTACTTCAATCAATGAATTAAATTAATAACCTTACTTCAATCAATGAATTAAATTATTAACTTTACTTCAATCAATAAATTAAGCTATTCACTTTAACTAACAAATCAAATTGTTAACTTTATTTCAACCAACAAATTAAGCTATCATGAAGAATTGAATTTTTATTATTTATTATCAATGTTTCATCAAAAATTTTGCCGATCTAAAAACAAAATCTTGAAATGATTAAAATCAACTAACAAACATAAACAAGGTGATAATTCTAAATCTAAGAATTATTTATTAATTTTATGGGGTTTTTTTTTATCAATGATTTTTTACAGCTCTTTATGCTATAGTTTTTTTCTTTTTTTTTTAAAAAAAATTTAGGATGAAATTTACAATTTGCAAACTTTTTTCCCGAACTTCACACTTTTTATGATATGTTTCGCTACTTTTTATATTATTAATTCTTTTTTTCGTAATATTTGAATTTTTAAATGGGTACTGAAAGAATTATATCCTCTTTTTGTTTTTGTTTTTTTTTTATCCTTACAACATTTTTATTTTACAATTTGTAAAATGAAATTTTTGTTGATAATTTTGATTGTATATATGAAAATGAAAATGAAACAATAAGAGAAAAAAATTCATTTCTAAATAACAAATCTTTTTTTTTTTCTTTTTTTTCTCATACATTAAATATTCTATTTGAATTACATTCAAAAACAATTATTATTCAATTACTAATTAAGCTATTAAAAAATTTTTTCACTGAATGCTGTATTTTTCTTTTTTACTTTTTCATCAAATATATAATTTTATCATTAAAGATTGTTTTTTCTTTTTTTTTTTTTTTTTTTAATAAGGAATACATTAGTTTTTTTAATTAGTATAATGGTTTTCCAATTGATTGATTAATTGATAGATACAATTGATAAATTATAAAAAAAAACATTTTTTAATTAGTTAAAACAACTTTCTCGATAATACATATCAAATATGCAGTTGCATTTAAAAAAAAAAAGAAATTTATATGAAAATTTCAATAATTAATGATTATTTTTCGCAAGATAAAAACATTCAATTGAATATGTGAAAATATTACGAGAGTAAGATTGTATTTTTGAATGATAAGGATTAGAAAATGGTATTAATAATTTGATTTAATTTTAATTAATAAAAAATTTTAAATTTTAATTTGATTAAATTTGAAAAAAAAGAAAAATATTGATAAATTTTATTAAATCTCTTTAATTTAGGAGAAAATTATAAATTTTATTAAAATTACAAATGAAATTCTTCGTTTTTTCTTTTTCTCCTTATAAACTTCAAGTATTTGTTTAATCGTATAATAGAAAACTTGATCATTTACAAATTTATATTTATTATTACTTGATAATTTTAGATTTAATTTTATTTTTATATCCATTATTATTTAATAACTTTAAATTTAATTTTATTTTTATATTCATTATTACTTAACAATTTTAAATTTTGTTTGGTTTTTATATTCATTATTAATTAATAACTTTAAATTTAATTTTATTTTTATATTCATTATTATTTAGCAATTTTAAATTTTGTTTGATTTTTATATTCATTATTACTTAACAATCTTTTCTTTATCAATTTTAGTGAAATATTTTATGTTTGTCACCAAAAATTTTCCCATTTTTTTTTTTGTATTGATTTTTTATTTCCTATTCTCATTTTACTTAAATTTAAAAATAACTTTAAAAAGAAAAACCGAATTAATGAATAATTATTATTGCTTCTTTTAGATTGCTTTTTAGAGCATAAATTTAACTTTTTCATCAAAAATCAAAATGAGAATAGGAAATGCTTCAATAATCATTTTCATTCATCTCTTTTCATAAATTATAATGACTGAAATTTGGTTGAATTTCAAAATTTTCAAATTTCAACTTATTTCGCAATCAATTCTAATAATGATTGATTCATCCATTATTATCACAAATCAATTATTCATGTTATTATCAATGCAATTATCATTTTACATTCCTGTTTGAAAGATCAAACAGGAATTAAATTCATTCAAATATGACAAATATTTGTTAGAAAAAAAAAAATTTTTTTTTCCATGTGCATACAAGAAAGTTTACTTACAAAAAAATTTTTAATTACTGCTAAAGAAGGGAATAGGAAATGAATTTTAACTTAAATTATTTTAGCATTTTATATATTCCGAATAATTTATCCGGAAATATATCAATATAGCAAACCGGAAAATATGAATATGTTACATACAATATCCTCTTAACTATTTTTTTCTTTTTTTTTTATCCTTAATATTTGCAAGAAAATTTAAAAAAAAAAAAAAAAGTAAATGAAAAAAAATAGAAACCATTTAATTAAAAGATGGAAGGAAAGCATGATAATGTAATGAAAAGTTATTATCAGTAAAGATCAAAGATTACTTATTATTATCATTATTACTACTAAGCATTTGCAAATGGCAATGTTTGCTATCAAAATTGATTTACATTGCTCATTTATTACTTTGTCATACATTACATTAACGTTTTTAAATTTTAATTTTTTTTTTTTGAATCGATTTAAATTTTATTTTTCAAAAGTTTTATTTAAAAGTAATATGATGGGAGAGGAGAGAGTGAAGAAAGAGGGGAAGGAAGAGGGGATGAAGAGCAATGATAAGGATAAGTAATAGTAAGGAAGGAGAGAAGAGGGGAGGGGTAGGTGAGAAAGGGAGCAATGATAAGGGTAATATAAATTGCAATGAAAAGTGGGAATGATTAAAGGTTGGAATTATCAAATTTCTAATCTTTAACTTTTAAAAATGTAGCTTTCTATGTGTTATTTAAATATATTAATAGTTAGATAATGATTGAATCGATTTCAAATATATTAATTAATTAATTTTAGAATAAATTTTAATTTAATTCTTTATTAGATAAATTTATTTCGAAGAAAAAAAAAGAAAAGAAAAAAAAAAGAAGAAAAAAAATGCTATTCGTTAAAACGATTTCTTCATTTAAATTTAATTGAATTTTGATAAATTTCTAATCGTTAATTTAAATTAACTTAATTACAATTAAATTTATTTTTTCTTCATCTTTATTACAATTAATTGCATTTGAGTAATTTTTATTCTTCAAAATACTAAATCATCTCATTTTCTTTCTTTCTTTTTTCATTTCCTTTTTTTTCTCTTGAAATTACATTAAAATCATTTGCTGATATTCGTTTCTTTCCGAC